GGCTTTATTATTTTTGCAGATGAGAGAGAAAGAAAGAAAGAGAGAGAGCGAGAGAGTGTGTGTGTTTACAGTATGTGGAGTTTTATATCATAAAAAGTGCTACGATCTGTCACGTTCCATGAACAAACCTTTAAAACATGCAGAGGAGATTTTTTTTTTTTTTGAAAGCTCATTCAGAAACATGTAAACATATAAATCAGTCGATGACTGGACATCAGCATCATCTGTCTCTGTCCTTTTCATTCATCCAGTTGATGTAAACTCTATTGATTAAACGATAAATTGAGTTATTCGTTGCACTTTTTAGTTAAATAATAACGAACTGGATTTGAACTGGACTTGAACTACAGACTGTGCCCAAACTCCACATTCTCTTCAGATCAGTATTAGCTGCTGTGTTCAACAGCAGGGACTCTGCCCACCATCTGTACTTTCTATTTTTTTTTTTTTTTTACATTTTAAGTGTTTAGGAAGCATCTGTGTGGAAATATAAAGTAATAAAGGAAATAGATGCTTAAGAAGAACCTTAAGAAGAATAAGGAACACTGGTTGGTTAGCATGCTGCTAGGTGGCTAAGTGGTGTTGATATGGTAACCAAGTAATGGAGTGAAAGTGAATTATTGTCACAGTGAAATGTGACCTGTAATTAATAGTTAATATTAAGTTAATAGAGTACTGAAATAATAATAATCATAACAAAAATAATAACAAAAACACATTAAAAATACATGTCATTTTCAATAATAATAATAATAATAACAAAAACATTAAAAATACATTTTGTTCAAATCAAGCCGTTTAGATTGTAGATATAAAGTCAGGAATTGTGTGGATTTGTGTTGGGGGAGTAGATAAAAGTTTTTTTTTTTCCTTAATTCCCTTCGACAGCTCTTATAAAAATGTAACTCTATATTTTCTAACCATCATTTTATTCAGACCAGGCAGATTGATTTGCTGACACATCTGTCACTAACCTGTGCTGTTCATTACAATCTGGAATATCATTTTCAGATACCTGATCCTGACTGGAGGCACGGCCATAAATAAATAAATAAATAAACCGGCGGAGCCGTAACCACAATACAGTTCTAAATATTGGAGATAAATCATTTCACGGCATTAGAAACAGGATTGATTTAAATACAGAATTGACGAATTAGGAGAGAGATGAAAACTGAAGTTGTTCTGCGTCCGCAGCTGCGGCCGGCCGCCGTGTGGGGGACGGTGCCGCAGACTGAGGTCAGCTCCTGGTCACGTTTGCCAGTGAGCCACATCTGCTCAGTGAGCTGACTGAACTCCTCATTTGTTCGAAGTAATGAACCAAGCCAAGTATCACTGTCATAAGTCATTTAGCCGCGTAATGATTTGTTGTGTCGCTTTTGCTGCTAGGTGTTTTCAGTTTGGACGGTCATCTCTGCAGCGCTGCTCATCTTTTTCTTTTGTTTTTTTTTTTGGTCCACATTGTCAGAAACACCACATATGATTTTTTTCCCCTTTTTCATTCCAGGATGACATCCAAAGAAGGAAAAGGGAAATTTTTTTTCCCCCTTTTCAGGGATGACATCCAAAGAAGGAAAGGGGGGAAATTCCATTTTGCATTTGTGCTTCATTAAGGCCTTGGGTACAATTAGGGTCCATTTCTGGAAATATGTTTGTGGTTTGACTCCAGAGATTTAAAAAAGCTTTAAAGATTTCTGCAGAAGTTCTACTGTAAAATATCCAGACATTTAAAGTCCAGCTAAACTGGACAGTTGATGTGGCGGAGCTGTGTTGTTGTCACACGTTATCTTAGGTATCACAATTTTATACAGTGGCTGTCTTAAATAACATGTGCTCCTATATCTCCCCCTACTGGTTAGGAAGTGATGCAGCACTACCAACCTTCAAAATGGATTAAAACATGAATTCAAATAAATAAGTGTCATTTGAATTTAAATAAATAAAAAAAACGGCACTTTTCAGTTTGCCTTCTTGATAATTCAGATTTTTTTTTTCCTCCCTCCACTCAGCCCAAAGGGGTAAAAAAAAAAAAACGACATTAGTGTTCATTCTTTTGCTGGACAAAAATAGATCTGAAATAGCTAGAAAATGAGATTCATGGACTTACAGGGAGCGAGGTGCTGGATGTGGAGGAACTTAACTCACGCCAGCAACAGCCCAGGCTGATTGTCATTGGATCTCATTGTAACGCAGCACCATCGGCGGATTCGCTTACGTACTGTATTGTGAATGTTTCCCTCAAACGCCGGCAACACACGGTGACACGAAAGGTCATGAAGGCACCACAGCCAGACCACGGGGGGGAAAAAAAAAAAAAAACTGACTAGAGATCAGTGAAGAAGCTCTGTCATCAACATCACAGCGACAGGATTTAGTCGTCAACCGTTGACACAAAAGGTGTTCAAATTAAAAACGCACAATAATTTGGAGAACCTCATTAACACACACTGGTTATCACACATCTGTATTCAACAATCTTCACCTGCCAGATGATACGGATGAATCCGGAGACAGCTGTTCATAATTACTAATTATCAGTAATTAATCCAAACTTATTAAAAGGTCCTACTTTAAAAATAACGTAGAATTTCTCCTTTTTTTTTTTTTTTTTTAATGGATCGGGGACAAAGATTTATCTGCCGTGGAGCCCAGGAGAACAAATGTAGAACATGTCCCGGTGTCGAGAACACGGTACCAGATTATAGATCCTGGAGTTTGTCACTGATCAAGAGATATTGGGTTCCCTGGTACCGTTCCCTCCCAGCTGAGGACAATCACTGCGAGAGGTTTCGTAGTCTGCTGTGATATTTGCTGCTCTGCCTTTGTCTCACAGGAGGCAGCGTCAGTTGACTTCTCTGTAAAAAAAACAGCCTTGTTTCTGTCAATAATGACGTTTTTTTGTCCTTTTTTCTGTTGGGTCATGTGACCAGACGTCGGTGTGAAACTCGTTTCCTGGGCCTCAGCTTTTGTTTGTGGTTCGTGTCTCCTCCCTGACATAGAGTCAACCTGACGCTGCAGCACCAACATCCAGATTTAACCGTATTGATCAAAACCACAACAAGAACAAAACTTGAGGAGAAAATCCATAAACGATCATTCACACATTGAAATGAGTTCCTGGAACTGTTAGACGGGACACGTACGCTATGTTTACCTTCTTTTTTTTTCCTTTTTTTTTTTATTCACATCTTCTACACTATATAAAACTGTTTGAGGATTGAGGCACTTAAAGATTAGCCTTAGCTAATGGTTAGCATCTGTAATTAAGATTATATGACCATACAGTGGTGCAGTGGTCAGTGTGTTGACCTTACATCAAGAACAGGTTCGGTTGGATTTGTTGTTGTAACTGATGGTCCTTCTGTATAGAATGTTGGTAGGTTTACTCCTGGTACTCCTGGTACTCCTGGTACTTCTGGTACACCTGGTACTCCTGGTACTCCTGGTACTCCTGGTCCACACTCTGGGTTAATCATTCAGTCCTAATGGACCAAAGGTATAAATGTGGGCGTGAGTGTTTGCTTGTTTCTTTATGTGGCCCATTGATGACAAGCCAAATGGTCATCACTGGGTGTGAACCTGATGACGGCTGGGATTGGATCCAACCCTGAAAAGTCCGAGATGAATGAACACTGGTCTGTTCTGAAAAAAAAAAAAAAAAACGCCCATAAAAACGATGACATTAAATCTGCGTCCGTCTCCGTCCGTCTGTCAGTGCTGAGCTGTAGACCAACAGGAAACTTCATTGTCTGTGTTTTTTTTTCTTCTTTTTAATAACGGCCACTTCATCAGAGAAGGTCTTCCCCCGTCTCTCCCCCTGATTCGCCCTGTGTGTTTCTCACCCGCTCCCATCAATCTGCGTAACTTATTTCACTCTGCTCATTACGATGTAGTGAGATGCCTTGCTGCCTCGATCGATTTCTCTGTCCACATTCATTTACCTTTCAGGGTTTTCCTGACTCTAAAAAGCTTAACTGTGTTTTTCTCCGCCTCCTCCTCCCCCCTCTCTACCTCCTCCCTCCTCCACCTCCCATTGTACGTGCCTTCTCATTGTTTTTGATCGAGAGGATGTGTAAATAAGGCTGCAAACTCTATTGATGCCCAGCGATCCATATATGGAGTCGGGCGTGTTGCATGTACAGTTATGCTGATGATGTCAATATTTATACTGGTGTTGGACTGTATACCTGAGTGTACACAGAGGAGGAGAGCTGTTGAAAATCAATGGCTACAAACCATTTCCATAATAATGCAGTGTTGATCGTTGTAGCGGCAATTCACACACCGTTATGTCGCTGTTTTCTTCTGTCTAAAATTCAATGTTGTGGTATTTCTGTGTCAAATGTTTTGTTTTTTTTGCTCGTTGAAAGACTCAGGGTTACTGTACTGGTATTTTACTGTTTCATATTTCATATAAGACGGACACGTATTAAATTGATCCTCAAGGGTTACTGTACTGGTATTTTACTGTTTAATATTTCATATAAGACGGACACGTTGTATTAAATCCTTATCCTCAGGCTGGTGGTTGAAAGAAGAACAAACCAATCAGGATTAAGTAAGCACTTAAAATCACATGAAAAGTTGAGTCTATTTTTTTTTTCACACAGTAAACATCTTCATTAAAAACACCGCAGAGGCAGCGTAATTTCCATGTAATGAAAAACAGGTTTTAGTCATTTCTGCGACGTCGTCGTCGTCGTCCGTTTTCGAGGAGCAATTCATGCTTTCAAAGAAATAGTTCAGGTCCACGCCGTGACTTCATTGTGATGGTCGCAGGTCTTTAAAACAAGCCGAAGGTCACCAGACCCCAATTTTACCTCTTAATGAATAAATTAATGCTGCGGGCCATAAATGGATCCTGTCTGTGCAGTTGTGACCAGCGCTGCCCTTTTTTTTTCTTTTTTTTTTTCTTTTTACCGCCTCTTCTCTGTCTGTTTTTTTTTTTTTTTTCTTCTGCTTCTTACACTATTGTCTCCACTCTTTTGTCTTCTCCTCAGGCTTTGGCTTTGTAACATTCGAAATTGAGGATGTGGTGGAGAAAGTCTGCGAGATCCATTTTCATGAAATCAATAATAAAATGGTGAGTGCCTCCCATCTCATTTCACAACGATGGAGAAAGATCAAGATTAATATTTGATTTTCCCCAGTGTGGCTGAGAAAATGATGTTGAAAAATGAGACTGGACACACACACACACACACGAGCACACACACAGGCTCTGTGAAAACGGACAGGTATAGATAATGCATTTTGGGTAACAATGGTCATTGAACACATTTTCTGACAGTTACACAACAATATTGGAGCCAGCTGATGACGACTGTGACGGCTGGATGTAAACTCCAAACTTTTCCCAACAGTGTGATGTGGTCTGGAAGTGTCAGCACTCCGGCGTCTGCACTGTCGTTGAGTGGTTAGACAGTCTGTGAGTGTGACAGTCTGTCCCGTGGTCTTTCGTGGTCTTTAGGCAGAGAACTGTCGGGGGGGGGGGGGGGGGGGGGAGGAGGAGGAGGAGGCTCCCTCTCAGTCCACTCTTCAGGCTACTTCCTCTTTGTCCCATCTTTTCCATCACTGTCGTTCCCTTTCACCTGGCTTCCATCTAATCACGTTCCACTCTTTGTTCCACCTCTTGTCAGTTCCTCTTCCTCCTCCTTTTTTTTTGTTTCCTGTCAGAGTTTTCTGACATCTGAGATTAATCTTTATCGGCCGTCTAAGGTTTTCTTTTGAAAACAAAATTATGTTTTTCATCCTTTCCTGACAGTGTTTGGCACTTTGTCATCCTCCTGACTCTCAATATTATTTCTGTCTCAAAAAAAAAAAAAAAAGAAAGAAAGAAAACATCACAATCAAGACCTACAATAAGCCTTTTTATCACTGTGTCACCAAAGCAAATTATCTACAGTACCTCCGTCCAACCTCAAAAAATCTCAACCATGGCCGTATTATTAAGTTCCTATGAGTTTATATATGTATAAAAATAGGGAATAAATATAACTATCTTCAAGAAACTCTTGAAGACTCAACCTTTCAGTTTCACTTTCCTGTCCTTCTTCAAGAATTTCCTCTGAGTAACCTGATTGTTGATCCTCCTCTTGTAAGTCGCTTTGGATAAAAGCATCTGCAAAATCCAGAAATGTAAATCTGAATGGAGGCAAAACAGGCAGCAGGACGGACGGATTTAATTTATGATGTCACTCACCAGAGATTTTAAATATTCCTCCTAATTTTAAACATATTTAGTGAGAGTTTGTAATGTAGAAATATGTCCAAAGACGAGAGTTCTTCCAACAAACGACGTCGAGGAAGGGAAGAAAAAAAGGGGCAACAGCAGTACAACATGTACTTACACAAAGTGCCCTTCCAAAATAGCAGTAGGTGGGCTGTACCAAGGTACCCACACATGGAAACATGTTTATGCCTGCGTCCTGGTACAGTCAGCTGTTGTTGACGGAGAAATCCAGAAGCTGGAAACAGCAAACATCCGGACCCAAAACAGGAGCGAAAAAGTTGAAAAAAAAAAAAAAAACCTAACACGGGTTTGGCAAAAATATCACGACAAAAGTTTTATGGAAGCTGTTGTTTTAGTCATAGTCATAATCGGACTCTTCTGAAATCTGTCCTGGAACTTTTTGACTGACCCTCTTACTGTACATCCCTATGGTTGAACAGGATTTATAACATCATGTTTCACTTTTAGAGTTTCGTGTTTTTATATTTTTTTTAAATCAGCTCCCGTCTTTGAACCATCATCATAGCATGTCTCACAACCGTCTTGAATTTTGTTTGTTAATATTTGTGCTGTCGTCCTTCCTAAAACCCATCGTTTCATCTTTATCCTCTCACTTCTTCGCTGCCCTAGGATTTCAGAGTTAGAAATAGAAGAAAATACAAATAAAAAAACAACAAAACAATGTTTTAGATGTCAGAGTTAGAAATAGAAGAAAATACAAGTAAAACCCCCCAACAAAACAATGTTTTTAGATGAAGTTTTTTAACGGCTCAGCGTATCTGCATCTCCTGTAAATGGCGTCCGTCGATACGACACAATCGCCCTGTACGTATCAGAATTCCTCACTTCCTCTCCCCTCCGCTTTAAAGATCCGGCGAGTCCACGTTGCCGTCAATGTGAGCTCTTTCTCTTCGTCACTCGTATTAATGTCACTGAGTCAGCATCCGACCGCCTTCATCCAAACAACCGGGAGGAAGGAGCGTGCACACGCTCGCTATCGATTTTCACATGATAGCACACCACATGCTTTTATTGTTTGGAGAGTTGAACAGTGCTGACCGTGATTTCTTCACTGCAGTCAATATCTCCCTATAGAGAACCTGCAGCCGCGGTCCTCCGTCCATAACACCGCATCGACAGGCCTGCTTTAAATTGGCCAGCAGGGGAAGTGAACTCATTCATTGTTAACACCATCAGACAAGAGCAGGCGCGAAGAGACGGTCGCACAGAAGCACGGGCGGCGACTGAAGGATGTGAAAAGATTCTGATGTCACTTCCTGCTCATATTTATTCCAGTTTCTGATGTATTCAGTCAAGATATTGCAGTTATTTTTTGGTAAAAGTGTCCATTCAAATACTGGCCTGCAGGGCCACATACGGCCCAGAGAAAACCTCAAAGTGGTCCTGTTAAAAATGTGGAGAGAAATAGTAAAAATAATACAAAATTATCGTTGAATATTGTCCGTTTAATTCAGCATGAAATGACAAATTCTTACTTTTCTTTTTCATACTTCAAACTTCAAAACTTTCAATTAATTTGTTGCGGAACTAAAAAACAGTAAACTTTTTATTAGCCACTGAATATCTGAGCGACCTGGATTTTTTGCTTTCAAATCTGCCATAACTGAATTTATAATTAAACTGTTCAACCATAGAGGGCGCTGTACAATATGTAGAGAGGAAAGGCTATCGTTCCTCCTCAAAACAAATGCTCATGCAGTTAACTTTGTAAGCATGTTAATATTTAGACAGTAGTTGATGTTGCTTTGTGTTTGTCATGATATTTTGAGCATGGTTACAGCACAGTCTAATGACCTGCCCCGTTTTATTTTGCCCTTTTTATTCTATAAGTGTATCATATACATTATATGGTGTCAAACACTGAAGGATTGATGAGCGTTCAAATGTGCAGCTCCATAAACCAGCAGCATACTTCACAGGTAGAATGCAAAAAGGCACAGCCCAAGGAAGTAATGTTTCCTCCGGGGACACGAGGTCGAGCCAGGGGTCTGCCGTACACCATGGAAGCCTTCATGCTGGGCATGGGAATGCTAAGTAAGTGTGAACAACAATCTACAGACGCTGTTCTAACATAGCTTGTCAGTCATTGGTTGATTTATATGTTGCTGTTTTGATTATTTTATCTTTAAGGCACGATTCTATTTTTATTTATTATTAAGTACAAACCAACGGATGATTTTAATACCAGTAATGAAAAGAAAAATCAACTCTTAACTTATTATTACATTATTATTATTACTTATTGTTATTTTACAGATGAAAAGAAAAATCAACTCTTAACTTAGTTATTTTACAATTGTACATATGGTTATTTTATGTTAGGAAAATCTTGAAAAACCACTGTTCTCCTAAAAGAATATTTGACAGATATATATTTAGAACTGACTAACTCTCTGTCAGCCATAATTTTTATTATGATTCCACCTTTACATGTCAGTTACTCATTAGCACAGAATCCACCTCAGGGCTGATAATCATTCAGTGTCAGACATTTTGACGACCCAGTCACTGGAGGTAACGGTTTCTGAACTCTTCTTCTTTACAGGTTATCCAAACATCGTCGCTACGTACAGTAGAGGCTACACTGGCTTCGCTCCAAGTTATAGCTACCAGTTTCCAGGTAAGAGGTCTACACACACACACACACACACACACACACACATCACAGATATGATGCGTTCCATGAGCCTGTACCGCAGTGGTTAACAAAATGGGGGGCGGGGAGTGAGGCTGAGATGAAGAGGGGGGTTTGAAATGATCATTTTTATTCTTCTATTCCTATATTTGAGCCACAGTTGGAAATTTCCACCATTTTTTTGTTTGTTTGTTTGTTTCAATGACAATAGCATTTTTAGAATTTTTTTTTATTTATTTAAATCCAATTTAAATCCAATGAATGCTAACTGTAAATTGTTACTGTTGTGGTGTTTGTTTCAATGACAATAGCATTTTTTATATATTTTTTTTTATTTAAATCCAATGAATGCTAACAGTAAAATGCTATTTTAAAAGTCACAAACCTTCGCGACCCAAGTAAATAGTCATTATTCTTAAACTCTAGAAAACATGATGCGAGACGACCCCAAAAAAAACTCTTGCGACCCACCTAAGGGCCGCAACCCAGTCTTTGGGAAACAATGGCTTGAACCACAAAAAGTTCTTATTTGGACAAAACAAAACAAAAATTTCCTCTCGAGTAGAGCTATAAAAAACACCACACACACACCCACACACACACTCGTACTGTCACTGTCCTCTGTTTCTGTTTACTGTACAAGAATAGACATTAGTACATACAGTTTCATGTGTGAACAATGACATTTCCAAATATTGTTGCTCTCCATCACCAACCCGTAGAAAAAGTAAGGATTGTTGCCTTCGAGCGTCTGCAAAGGAAAAAAATAAAATAACATGCATCACATGATTTTTATTCTGTTGCTTTTACAACAGAACGGCAATTTAACTGTTTTCCTTTATATTGTGCATTGGAAAAAAAAATGAAAAAACATCTTTGTTAAAGCTGCTGCTCCGAACTGTAATTCTAGGAGAGGAACTTCCTGGACCGGAGCTGGGGCATTAAACTGGGGCCAATGAGGGAAAATGATGTAGAAATGAAATATGGGCCTCATTTGGCCAAAAACGCTGCAGCTGTGATTAATGTGCCCCAAAAATGAAGCTCCGGTACGGCCGAGCCCTCACACTGCAGGCGGACTTCCTCTTTATTCTACTTACGTCCGCCTCACTGTGCTCCAAAAAGTCGGACCAAGGAAATGGTCGAAATTAATACTTTAGGCTTTTTTTTTTAATATGATATCAGAGGAGTGCACATGGTCCGGTTTTAGGGACTCGTGTCCACCGACACCCACAGAGGAGCTGATCTGTCACCTGTCATTACGTCAGTGTCAAATTGGCAGCAGCAGCAGCAGCAGCAGCCCACGTCTGTTAAGAACAAATCTGCTGCCTACGGTAGTGTACGTCACACAGAGGGAGCCATAGCTTTAGCCAACAAAATCAGAACCATTTAAAACCCTGTATCAGAATAATGTTCCTCACTTCGAATCAAATTCTGATTCCGCTCAGATCCAAATTCCAAATCAATGAAGTTAGTTTCACATGGATTGCTTTTGGCTTTCTGTGCACATGACTGCCCTTTGAGGAAGCATGCATGCACACATCCTTTCATTCTCTCCCCCCCCCCATCATTATTGATGGTGTGACTGAACACAGAACACACTGTTTCTGTTATATTTAGTCCCAGTGTTTAACCTGTGAAGTTTTATGCAGACGACGTCATTCATTCTCAGCTCTGTATTTCAAGTCAGTGACGACGATTAATAATTCACTGTTAATTTGTAGTAAATTTACTGTTATTGTTATATTATAAATTCATTGACAAATTGTTGTATCTCGACTCACTAGCTTTTTAAGCTAACTATACTAGCATATTAGTAATTCCGTGTTCGACTGGTAAATAAAACCTGATGGCCGTAGTACATGGGTGTCAAACTCAATAACATTTATTATACATTTAAATAACCCCCCCCCCCCCACACAAATGAGTACAAGTATATACAATAACTTATCATATTTAATCTAATATAATTTGACAGAAGATCACAAACATGAAGAGTTTGTGCATTTTTTTTCACTTTCAAAAGTCATCAAGAGGGCCGGATTATACCCCCTAGTGGGCCAGTTTTGGCCCGTGGGCCGCATGTTTGACATCCCTTCTGGGAGTACAGTTGGCTACTGCACTGGCTTCCGAGCTCTTTTTGTGCCGCAAACCACTAAGTTATTATAATTTTAAAAAACTACCACCAACCTACTGCGCCGTACACGTCTTTAACGCTGTAAAAAGTATCTCCCGTCAGTCGTCTCCTTGTCCAAAAGTTATTTTTCTCTGTTCTCTGCTAGTTATAATACTAGTTATATTTTTTCATTTCCGCTTTATTCCATCTGATAGTCTGTCAAGAAGGTGATAATTAAACTATTGTGGTTCTCAATGGTTTCCTCCCGTTCTTTGTACCGTCTTTACTCTCCCCGTTATTTCGTGACACCAGAAAGAGCACGGTGCTCATATATGAACGATGAAAAGCTTTTGTTTCCTCTCCCTTTCTCTTTTTCCCCTTTCAGCTTTGAAGGATTTAGAATAGCTGGCTCATAATAGAGGTTAAAAGTGAGTTCTGAGAAGGAGAAGATCCCCTTTATTTTCTGAAGAACTGTCCATAATTATTGCCAGAGGCTGACTTCAGCAGAGGTCAAACGGAGTGGCTGCCGTGTTTGTGTGAAGACCGTAGTTCCTCCTGTCTGCTCCTCCGCCGTGCTTCAGTTTTAGCACTGACTTTTTTTTTTTTTTT